TGTACAAATACGTTTCAAACAAAAAAGTTTAATTTACAATCAAACATGGGTATAACAAATTTGAAAAAAATATGTAAACTTAATGCATTAATGCATCATAAGAAGTTGTAAATTAAGCCGACTCGACCCGTGTTTTGTTAAGTCTGTTCAACTCAGACCATTTCTATATTATTTGTTTGGCCTCTTTATTTTAATAAATTTTAGTAAACAGTAATTTGCCACCATTTACTAAAAATTTCTTTTGTAGCTCTAAATTTAATTTTCTTAAATATTTTGAAACTAATAAAGAGGTTTCTGCCCTCTTTTTGCTTTAATGGTGGCCAGGTGAGTAGAGTTTTTTTTATTAAGAGTAGTCATGTTTTTGATGAAGACCTTTTACCAAAATAATAAAATGTAAAACAATCATTCACATATATAAAAATGTTTTCTTTTTTTTTCCTCAAAAGTTATGCAAATACAGACTAAGCTAACTAATTAGTTAAACACATAAACAAAACTTAAATAACTCGATATTAAATGCGTAAAATTACAATATTCTCCAAGTTTTTAAAGGTTTTTTGTTACGAACCCCCATTTACAAAGGTCTCCTAAAACACGTACAACAAACTATTAGGCATAAAATAGATAAAATGTAAAAAAAGTTTATATAATAGCATATATTTATATCTTTCTAGCTAATAAAAATTTACAAAAGGAATCAAGTTTTTTTGTTTTATAAATCTTATAAATGCGTCATTACGTAAATCTAAAATAAAAAAGTAATGAAATTATAATATCATAATTACAAATTAAAAAAAAAAAAAACCACCACACAATTACTGAAGTCGATTTACCAATTTATAGTATCCTATTTTGAAATTGCAGTTAATTTAATTTATATAACAGACATTATTATGTGTTTCCAGAATAAATAAAAAGAGCTAGGCAACACAATCTACCTCAAAAGCAGAAACACCGCCTGGCACTAAATGCTGCCAAATCACACTCCAGTGGGCACAGGACGTAAAAAAGACGTCCTAAGGACGTTCAAATCGCGTCCGTCCCATTAAAATTATAAAGGTCTGTTGAATGTCTTTTTCGCGTCCAATAATTTTTTCGTCCAAAAAATATCCAGAATGCTTTATTAAATCAAAAAAAGTCAGTTAAACTACGCAAGCGCAAAAACTTTCTAAAATTTTTGATTAACGCTAAGTAAAATTTTGAGTAAAATTTGAGTAAAATTTTTTCAATTACAAAAGAAGTCTTTTTACAACGACTAATAGACACGTTCCATCTAATTTTTATTTTTGTTATCAATTACTTGAAAATTGTGGTAATATTGATACAGGTAATGAAATTTTGACAGATAATGAAGGAAACGGTTTAAAACTGAATATATTTTATAGTATAGCCTATACTATGTATATATATACTTGATATACTATTAGTATAGTATTGCTATATCAAGAACCAAGTTCAAACGATTTCAAAGATTTAGACATCTCATGCAGAATCGAATGTTTCAATAGGAAAACCTGTTAATGATACATGGAAGAATTATCCTGATATTTCTTTGAGTTCAATGTCTTTACTCGACAACATTGTGCTATTCTATAATGGGACCAGATTATTAGTTAATGATCTTCTTGAAATATTGCCAAATCAAGGTTTAGAACTTCCCAAAGATGCAAGGAGAATTTTAAAAATATCTAATGAAAAGCGACTTATAGACAGGTTCTTGAAAATTTATATATATATTTTTAAACATTCAATTACTTGAGAATCGTGTTTATTAATTAATATTGATACAGATATTGAAATTGATACAGATATTGAAAGAAATAGTTAAAAACTGGGTATATGATATACTATATATACACTAAGTATATACTTGGCACTCGATATAGTACTTCAAGTATAATAATTGATATACTATATCAAGAACCAAGCTCTGACTGTTTGAAAGACTAAGCTATCGCAAAATCTCATGCGTAGTCATATTTTTCAAAAGGAAAACCTATTAATAATACAGAGAGTTTATGCTGATAATTCAATATAGTTCAATATCTTTAATTAACAACTGTTACATTGTGCTATTCGAAATAATTAGACCAGTACATTAGTTAATGAACTTTTTGAAATATTACAACATCAAGATTTGGAACTTCACTAATGACTAATTACTACTATATATATATATATATATATATATATATATATATATATATATATATATAGATATATATATATATATATATATATATATATATATATATATATATATATATATATATATATATATATATATATATATATATATATATATATATATATATATATATATATATATATATTTATATATATATTTAAATAAGAAATATGTTAATTTATAATAATTTTGCTGTTTTATTCAAAAATTATTGAAAAAAAAAAGTTTCTGTTTTCAATGTAGTTATTTTCTCCTAATTCTGCTTATTTTTTTTTTTCGAAAAATCGTCTTTCGTGACCAAATCTCTTTAAATAATAGAAAAATGTCTCCTTAAAATCCTTAATTTTAGCGTCAGTTTTAATAATGAAGACCCTGATTTTGTTTTTGCTAAAAATACCAAATATATGTCAATGATTAAAATAAAAATTAGTTTTGTTAAAATTTAGAATTAGTAGAATTTGTTAAAATTTAGAGTTATTAGTTATATTAGTTAGTCTAAATATTAATAGCCGAATGAATATTATTATTATTATTATTATTATTATTATTATTATTAGTGCGCATAGTTACGCATTGTTACGCCTATTGTTCGCTTTGTTAATTAGGGTTCTGCATTATGTAAAATACACTATTTCTTTGTTTTTAAGTTGTTTCTAGACTTTTCTAAGCGCAGTTATATATTCCAAGCCGTCTTTTGAGTAAAATCAGCAAGCAATTTGGAGCTGGTACACTTATTTTCAAGAAGAGTTAGTGTTGTTTATTTTTTAAAATAAAAATTTAAATAATTGTTAGTTTGTTATGTATATATGTTGTTTATATATATATATATATATATATATATATATATATATATATATATATATATAATATATATATATATATATATATATATATATATATATATATATATATATATATATATATATATATATATAATATATATATATATATATATGTATGTATATCTATATGTATTTTCTCTTAGCAAAATAAACTGAGAATAGAAAAATAAAAAAAATTCCTTCTGGAATTTGTCAAAGGGCTGTTGTGTTATGCTTCATTATAAGGTATCTAAATATGTATTTATTTTTCATTTTTTATAATAAGTTAGAACTAATTTGACTGGTAAAATAGTTTTTTTAGTACAACGTTTCTTTTTTAAGAAAGCTGTTTTAGCTTTGTCGTTAGTCTTTTTAAAACATTTTAAGCAGTATTAGTTTTATTTTGTAAAGCAGTTAAGGGGAGCTGATCGCTTTTTTAGTAAGTTCAAGTTGTTTTCTCATACATTAATTAAGATTTTTGATTTATTTCAGTCTATTTTATATTTCTCTATATCTATATATATATTTTCTCCAAGGAAAAATAATATGGAATAGAAAAATTGAGAAAATTTTTTCTGGAACTTGACAAAAGAGTGTTGTCCAATGCTTCATTAGGTATCTTAATATGTATATATTAGAAATTTTCAATTTTGTTCTTAAATGGTTTCTTCATTTTCATTACTTTAGATTAATATATACTGACTGATATAACTTAATTTTTATTAACAATGTTGGGCATTGTAGTCTGCATTCTTTGTTACATTAAAAATAATTGAAGCTAATAAATATTGTTTTATAGTTGTTAAAAATTTGTATATATGTTTATATTATGCTCGATGTTAAAAAAAGTTTTTGATAAATACGTGTATTTGATGATATATGTTATATAGTTGTTTATATAAATGTATTTTTATAATAGTATGAAATGCATTTTATCTAATGTGTATATGATTGTTAAATGAGGTGTTTTTATATGTTATATAACATTAAAAAAAATATATTGTGTTTTATAGTTAGTATATATTTTTATATAATGTTGTGTCCATGATTTCAAAGTGGTGTGACTTGGTAAACATGTAGAGATAAATTTTTCATTCTTACTAGTCAAGCACTGCTTTAGGTCTAAGTGTTGTCTAGCCTTTTATATAACTATATTGAAAATACACAACGTTATCTTTGATATTTTTTTGCGTAATGTTGTTATATTTAGCTTATCTTTATGTTGGTAACTGTTGTTTAAAAAATGTATATATAAATATATATATATATATATATATATATATATATATATATATATATATATATATATATATATATATAGATATATATATATATATATATATATATATATATATATATATATATATATATATATATATATATATATATATATATATATATATATATATATATATATATATACCCAGCTTACAATTAACGTTTAATGAACGTTGCCACAACGTTTGTTTAGGTTTGCGTAACGTTCGTCGCGAACGTTACATGAACCAATTTCTGTGAACTCCAAATAACAGTTCTTGAACGTTCAATACGAACGTTCAAATAACTAACAGCGAACGTTGACCGAACATTCAATGCAAACGTTATGCGAACGATATTTTGATAGCTCTTGAACGTTCACTTTAAACGTGAAATAATGAACACCAGACTTTTTTTTTTTAATTAAATGTCAAAATGCATAGATTTAAACGGACTTTTAATTTAAATCTACACATTTGCTAGTTTAATATTAAAAAACAATACAAAGCTTTTTTCTCAACTTTAAAATAATGTTTAGCATCAACGGAATCCTTTATCCAGTACAAATTTACCATGTTTTAATTACTTTAGAAGTAAAGCTTATTTGAGAGACCACAATTTATTCCATTTCAACCGTAAAGCCATAACTGGATGAGCTGTTTACAATTAACAAGAAGTTATAAAAAATAATCTACAAATAATTAATGAAAAATTTATTATTTTATTATCTATATATAAAAAAAAATTATAACAACAAAAAAACGCACAAAGAATGACATAATCATTTTAATATTATTCCGTATTTTCAGAATCGGAACTTTCTTCGGCTTGTTGCAACAATACATCTTTACTCGGAGTATTTGCAACAATTTTTGCCTAAAATTAAATAAATAAACATTTCCTATCATAAAGAATAAATGAAATACACTAAGATCAGTATTAATAGTTAACATTTAGTAAAAATCATCTTTACAGAGAGAAAAAAAGCAATTAAACTCATGTACCTCATAGTTAACTCCTCCTGGTTGATTAGGAGCATGCTTTAATACCTCCCTAATCTCTTCCTCTATTTTTTGCACGTTAGCATCCTTAATGATCTTTTTACAAGCTTCTAAATGAATAATTTTAAATGATATGTAAAATAGTTAATAAAATAGTCAAAGGTTAACTGCATAACCAATTACTTAAAAACGTTTATGGTGTAAAATAATTTTTAACTATAATTAAGCATTTCATTCGTTGCACTTTAAAGTAACTTGCCTTATAAAAAACTTTAAAAAAAACTTACTCATCACTACTTGGCAGAGTAAACAGCTCTCAAATGATAGTTTCCCTTTTCTGCCATTGAAACTAAACAAAGACCAAAGTTGGTTTGCTGCTGTTGTGCGCATAATACGCCGAATCGCATCTTTACAATTCCGGCCACCTAGACTTCCAAAATTATTAATCTAAAGAAGCAATCATTCTATCTATATTTGAAAAAGTAGCATATTAAGTAATATATTGTAATAATAAAATCATATATAAATTGCAAAATGCGTCTTTAACATAATTTCTAATTGCTATTTGAAAGCTTATGTAGGCTTAAATATACTTTAATAACGAAATTCTTAGTATATAGTGTGTCAAGTTATGTGGTACTGGCTACAAAAACCCGTATGAATTTAATTGACAAAGTATGGTGAGAAAGAGAGTCAGGAGATGATAATATACATTTACAAATATTCCACAATACAACACTTTATAGCAATTTTTGTCTGTTGTGAATTAGACCAATGCAAATATAATGTAAATTAAACGCAAGTTTAAATTTAAATAATATTGACAATAATTACCATATTTTTGCGATAACTAGGATCCTTCAACATTATTTCAAGCTGTCGCAATTCATGTTCATTTTTCATCTTCTGGGGAAACACATCGTCCAAAACATCATCTCCGCTAACAGCCACAAGACTTCTCAGCATCGCCTTAATCTCCTCTTGATTTTCAATAATTATGTCTAGTTTCATAGCTAAATAGGATAAATCTGAAGTAAAATTAAAGTTATATAACAAAAAATAATCTGCAAACAGTAATCAAAGTATGCTTTTTTTTAAAACGAAGTCTACATTTACATCAATACATTATAATTAATTTTGTTAAAAAATGTTAAACATTAACCCTGGTAAAGGAAAATTTTTATTAAAAAAATTTCAAAGCTTTAAAAAAATTGTACTAAATTAAAAAATTCCATGATTTTTCCTGATTTTTTTACTAAATCAATCATTTCCCCCTGATTTTCTATCTAAATTTCCCTGACATCCCTGGTTTAGTGGCAACCCTGTTATATAAATTGAAATCAACCAACTGTATGTTCCTGCAGTATTTTCACCTGCTCTAGCACCAGCAAAAATGTTATTGTCTGTCAAACTATTGACCATTGTTCCACCAATAAATGGTCTTCCGATACTGGCTATAAAAACAATAAATTTTTGTTTTTTTAAATTGGTAAAAAATTATTTTGCATAATTGAAATTTTTCTTATTATACGTTTGCACTCGTTGACAGAAAGATAAACCTTAATTTAAAAATCATTTTGGATATTGTTTTTTTTGCTGTGGTTTCTCATTATGTAAAAAAGTGCATAGATACTTTTTGGAATTTAATTGATTTACAATATTTTGGTGTCAAGCAGATTTGGGCTTTATAGATTTTAGGCCTAATAAATACCATCAAAATTTGTTGAATTTGTAAAATCCATATATACTTTTATTTAAAATTTGTTAGAAAAATAAATTAAAGTATTTTAACTTATGCCAACCATTTTCACTAGACATCCTGTCAGTTGATGCAATACGTGCAAGATTTACTTGACTTACAGATGCCGAAGGTGAATTAATAATATTTGCAGCAGCTGACACAGCTGCACTTCGCACATGCTGAAACACTTGAGATGAAACAGCTGCTCGTTCCTGTAAGGATGCATTTGTAGACCTTTAGGGATGCATTTTTTTCTTTGAAAAATAATAATTTGTTTAATATTATTATCATCCAACTTACACATTAATACAGGATTAATAGCAGAAAATACAAATAGCATAGTACTAGAAGGAGGCTTTTATAATAAACATATGAATTAAGAATTAAAGTATTGAATTATCATTAATAATATCAAGACAAACATGCCATTGTTTTGTTTTGCACTATATTTTGGTGCAGATGGAAAGGTAATTTTTTTTGCTCAGAGGACTGTGACCACCAGAAGAGGTTCCTTAAAAATTAAATACAAAAAGTAACAAAATTTGAGTTACAACAAAATAGAATTTTAAATGTTAATGCAATTAAAATCGTGCTACAATAAATATCTTAATCAACTACATTCCAGATACACACACTAGTGCTATATGTCATAATAATGTCAACACATGTTAAATGTGAAATACTTAATTATTAAAACAGAAATTAACTCTTGCCTTTGTTTTGTTTTGAATTATATCTTTGTGCAGATAAAAGTTTGATTTTTTTCCTTGGAGGATTGTGATCACCAGAAGAGGTTTCTGTAAAATTAACAATAAAAAGGTAACATAATTGAAGTTACAACAGCATGGAATTATAAATATTAGTGTAAGTAAAATCATGCTACAGTATATAATTTATCCAACTACATACCATCTTCAATATCAGAAGAAGTCTCTTTGTTTATATCAGTATCTTCCACATTTGACATTACTAATGCTCTCTTAGCTAAATCTGATGCTTTGCTATAACTTTCCACTGATAATATATAAAATTAAAATATACAATCTGCCTAAAACCTGATTATAATATTCAAATATACTTAAAAGAATAACGTAACATTGTATTAAATATATTTTTATAGCTTTACATTTCTTGAATAGATTACTTATTTAATACGCTATATTTTAAAATAAAAATATTTCATAGATATTATACAGTTTTATAAATAAACATAATGCTTATGTTGTAAAAATGCATTCATTTTAAAGTTGAACTATACTTTTGAATTATCAAAATTTTTACAAATGGTGAGTATCACTTCATGCAAGGACGTATTAATAGATGGACGTTCAACCCATTGTTTAAAAAGCAGATTATTCATTTTTTAATCAGTGCTCATATAACAAAATAATAAACTTGCAACCAACAAACTATTGTAAGTCTTTACCTGCCGCCCTAAAAGTTCTAATTTTGTATAGTGGCCATTTCGGATCAGGTAGTTCACTCTTTTTGACTCTGCACACTGGATCCTTTCTGGGCCAATAGCCAAGCAGTTGCTAAAACAAACACAAAAACATTCTAACACATGCATTCAACATTGTGTAATAACTATCAATAATTAAATTTTTATTTACAATTTATGCATTACTGTAAGTAAATAGTACAACTATTACAAAACAGATAACTGCACTGCCTTATTAATTAATTGTAGTAATAATTTACCTCATTCTCATAAACAATCAAACTTTTTGGCATTACCTCCACTGATTGCTCATCAACAAACTCAACAACAACAAAGGACCGCTACTCATTTTCTAAACAATAAAAATGAGTTTTTGCATCTTAATATTAATTAAATTTAATAGTGAACTAAATAATTAAAAAATGAACATTAAAATAAAAGCAAATTGATTCAGTCAGATGATTACAACTTTTTTTCTAAACATATCTTTAAAATATTAAGTTTTACATTTCATGTAGCAAAGTCATAAGTATAATTTTTTTCTTATTTTTATTTTGAATCATAAAAACTTTGCTTTTTATGGCTGTTGATAAAATAACTTCAATATGAGTGTAGTCAAAATTTGCAACATGAACTCCAATAAGTCGGGAGTCACAAGGGACATCAAACAACGACTTTGTTCTTTGAAATATTCTGCAACGATATTGTTGTAAGTCAAAATTTGGATTTTCCCCTTCTTTGCAAAGAAGTTCACAGAATCTTCCATTATCCAGCATATATGAATTGTTGGGGCGACTCATGCAAATTATCTTAGTATTCAATTTTTGAGGCAGGACCATAATAATAATTTCACTAAGACGCTTAACAACCTGGCTAAGCGGAAACAATGGTTTTTGTTTTGAAAAAAATCTGAAGATAGTTTTCAAAACAAAAACCACTGCACCTATTTACATTGCCATATCGTTTAGAAACTGCAACTTGGTGTACTAGACTGTGCACATTGTATACAAGAAACTGAGGTCCATAAAGATCTTTAGCTTGATCGACAAAATATAAAAGTAATTGGTGTGCATAAGTTTCATATTTTCTAACAAACCTTGTACTGACTAATATAGATAAAGCTACACTTAAAGCTAAAAAGTGTTGAAATAGGTCTTTTTGCAAGATGCTTTTAAGCACAACTTTTCCAGTATACAATAAAAATTGCCTATACTCGGTTGCTTTCCAAAAATCAATATCATCAAGAGAACGTGGCTTTCTTACAAAATCTTTAGGAACACATTTTTTTAATTCAAGCAATTTAGCACTAATATCATTCTTATGAGCTGCAGACATTTTTACTCCTTTTTTGTCAGTATCTCTAATCCAGGTCACCAACAATTTTCGCATTACACCAAGACAAGATTGATGCATATAGTCAATTGGAAAATCCTTAACCATATCTATAGATAAAACACAAAATGGTGACACCAAACCAGTATGATGATGATTTGCATTTGACTTTTGACGGAAAGAGCGATTATCTCTCAGTTGCAGTCCAATAAGACACTTGTCGCATCCGTAGTAACCAGAATAAAGTTTTACACATTTTATGAAACATTTGGCAGGTGTATCACAAACAATAAACTTTAATGTTATACTTATTCTGTTTGCATTATGCTCCAATCCATTTTCAAGCAACCATCTCAGTTCTTCCACTGCTTCATTTAAAAACTGGAGGTTGTCAGGTTTTACTTTACCATAAGTCAACGCTATGGGAAAGACTATGGGAACAGAGCTGACATTAAGAACAGCACATAAAATTGGCCACATGCATACTTTTGTGCTCCTAAAAAGTGGAAGCCCATCTATATTGAGAGCGATTTCCAAGTCTAACAAATTGTTTAACTTGTCCTTTTTTTCAAGACGACCTAGTATTTGTAACAAATATTTTTCAATTCCTAGATAAACATATTGCATGCCAGATTTGCAATAAATCTCAACAGTTCTGTATGTTTGCAACAGAGTCTTTACTGTAGCTGGCAATTCGGGGTGCCCATTGATTTTTAGGCGCTTCAACAAATCATCACCAGCATTGTGTTTTACATCAGGTAACAGTTGCATCCATTCTTTTATGCTGCTACTGAATGACATACCAATTTTATTAGTTGAGTTAGAATCCGAATCAGATTGAAGGGAAAACTCTTTTTCTGAGTTGCACTCACTTGAAAGCAGTTGATTCTCAACATCTAAATGAATATTACTTGAAAATTGACTAGCCAGACCATCATTGCTACAACATAAAGTTATTTTGTCAAAACAATATCTTTCAGTGTCGCTGTCGCTTTGACTGTTGTTTTGTTGTTGCGATTGTTGCTTAAGAGATCTTTTAGCTGCCATTCGCTTTCGTGTATATATCTGACGATTATTATTGTTTCGCTTCATTGCAAATATTTACTAGTATGATAATACATTCAAAATGGATACTTCCAATGGGTTTCTTTTAAAACAGAATGGAAGTCGTAAAATATAATCATAAAATTTATATATATATATATATATATATATATATACATATATATATATATATATATATATATATATATATATATATATATATATATATATATATATATATATATATATATATATATATATATATATATATATATATCAGTCAGGTCAGATTATCCTGCTATTGGTAACATGTAATCCAGTACCACCTGCTTCATGTTAATGTAAGGAAGAGCATTTGGTTGTAAAACATTGCTCTAACTCGTTCATAATGGCATTAATGTCATTATGAAAAACCATCTAAACCACACAAGTGTGGAAAAATAGATGTAAAACTTAAATAAAAATAAAATATATATATATATATATATATATATATATATATTTATAAATATATATACATACATACATACAAACATATATATATATATATATATATATATATATATATATATATATATATATATATATATATATATATATATATATATATATATATATATATATATATATATATAACTGTATATATATCCTTGGAGTTGCGGCAGCATAATAGTGTGTTAGAAGAAAAAAATTTATAAACCCGCGTTAATAATCTGTTTTCTATTTTACATAATGCATTAAAAAGTTTTATTACGTGGTTTGTTTAATGTTTTCTGCCAACGCATGAACTATGACGCTGTCGCAATTTTTTTTTTTTATATTAGAAATAAATTAAATTTTAACTTTTTTTTAATAAGTTTTTGCTGATGTGGTTGCAGGTTTTTCTTAACTTTTATCAAATAAACTTAAGAAACCTGTATTACTTTTGATGATGGCAAATTAATTTTAATTTGCATTTTTTTGGTTTTTTATATATATTTGTTTTGAGAATTTTTTTTTAATTTTTCGAGTATGATTTTTTTAGTTATTAAGTTTATTAAGAACATGATGACCCTTTGCATCTTTGGAATACATACAAAGTTTTTATGATGGAGGATTTCATTCATCACCAAGCTCCATTTATATTTTTCATAGTTTTTGATAAATATATTTGTCATTTAATATTGTTATATATTGTGTTTATATGTGTTATATAAAGTCATATTTGTTTATAGTTGTATATATGTTTACATTATGTTGTTTCTATATTTTCAAAGTGGTGTGACTTGGCAATATGTTAAGCAAGATTGTTAACCTTGCCCGCCAAGCGGTGCACTTATAGAAGAGGTGTGACTTGGCAGCATTTAGTGCCAGGCGGTGTTACTGCTTTAGAGCTAGGTTGTGTTGTCTAGCTTTTTTTTAATTATTCTGGAAACACATAATGTCTGTTAATGTTTTGTGTAATGTGTATAAGAGAGCATGCAACCTTGATCCTTAAGTACAGGGCGTTTTAATGTCCTAAATTTGAAATAATTGAGTAACTAATATTGAATATAAAAACAGATACACTATATTAAAATTTAGTTAAATGATAAATACAGATAACTCAAAATTGGTTTTTTAGTTTTGCCTCTCATATTCTTTTAAAATTGGTTTATTGTTTTCCACTGGATTTTAGAGACAAGGGTGTAAATATTAGTTATAAGGGTGTAAATAGGTGTTATTGTTATAATGTTGTAATAAATTGTCATAATGCATAATATTGTTATATTGTTGTGATGTTTTGTGTTGATAGACAGCTTGGCTTACCTTCCCGTTGGTGTCTATCGTTACAAATGAATAATAAATAGTTTCATTATTGGAACTTGCTGCTTTTATTCATTTACTAAAAACCAAGGCAAAATCTTGCTAAAAATTCAATTTAGATCTTTATTTGATTTTTTTCTTTGAGTATTGTTAGTCTTTTTGTACTTCGAAACAGATTTTATAGCTACCTTTTTTATAAATGTTTATATTAACTGCAATATCAAAAGGTTATAAAAACAGGTAAATCGATTTTCAGTGTTTATATGTGGTATATATATATATAATTTTTTTAGCTTTACTTTATACTTTCTTTTAGGGGAGTTGGAACAAAAACTAAGTATAAATTATGATTAGTTAAGTTTAATAGATAAAGCATTAATGTTTAAATTTAAAGTTTACTTTAGTTTATAGTTTTGGTTTAGTTTACAGTTTTGGTTTTAGCTTTCGCTGTTTTTTTTTACTTTAGACAACTTTATGGAGGAAATGAGGGGGATGGGTAAAACAATTATTTAGATATGTATATATTTATATGTTAAAATTATTTTATCGATTATTTTATATTTATATAAATATATATTTGTCTTTAGTGTCTGGTTGAAGCTTAACTGGTAGGGCTGTGTTTTATATTTTATATATTTTGGTATGAAGAAATATGTGCAATAGGTGGAAAAGTTAAATAATAAATATGACATTTTTATTAAACTAAAAAATTTGTTGTTGTTTAACACTTTTTTTTAACAAAAATGTTGCATGTTTAACACTTTTTAATTTGCTCTCATTTTTTTTTTAACATCTTCTGTTTCGAATGAAAATGGTGAGGTTATGCAAATTTTTTTTTCTAATAAAATTGCAAATGTATAATTTTTATTATATTCTTTTATTTGTAACTTTTGATTCCTTAACATTCGAAAACTATAAAACTTAGCGCTCCCAACACCTGGGATCTCTCTCAGAGAGGTCCTTCAACAAATGGAGAGATAATGGCGGAATGGATGAGCTCTCCTTCAAA